CCCCCCCCCAATTCTTCTCTTTTGAGGAAAATCCAAACATTCTGACAAACCCACACTTCAGTAAGACCCTCCTTGAATTTCCCCACTTCACTTGGAAGCAAAAACATTGATCTCACTTTAAGAACTATCTAGCAAAAAAAATTGTAGCATTTTGCCCAGGACTAACACCCAAACCTACTCCACTGTTGTTATAAGATATTTCTTAGCATTCTAGAACAGAAGAAGCAGTAGCACAGCCTTTAGACTTATTTACCACTTCGCAGGGCTTTCCAGCCCTCTCTAAGCAGTTTACAGAGTCAGCCTATTGCCCCCAACAATCTGGGTCCTCATTTTACCCACCTCGGAAGGATGGGAGGCTGAGTCAACCTTGAGCCAGTCAGGATCGAATAGCCAAATTACAAGCAGCCAGCAGGCAGTAGGATAGCTGCAGTACTGCATTCTAACCACTGCACCACCATGGAACATTTCTTCAAATGTTGGAACAATAAGTCATCTCCTCGCTCTTGGCCATGCGGAGCTGCAGAGAAGGGAATGGAGGTCTAAGGCACCTGGAGATAAGGGTTGATGGGCTCTTCCTATACTAAGACTTCCTTCCACAACTTGATGTTTGATATATGTGATAGCCTACAATTGGTATGTGCCTCGGTGCATATGGTTATTTGAATATTCATCTCCTCTTACAAAATCTTGCTTTGGTCCCAAAAATTTCTGCACAAGTTTTTTAGAAGTAAGTTAATCAGGAATAAAGTGATAAAAACATCATGAAGACGCCTAGCTATACATTTTCACTGGCAACTATAGGCAGAACTTCATCTGTGCATACAGACTTATCTCATCAGTGGCTTCATAATTTTTCTTTTAGCTTTTGATTAGGAAAAATTAAAGCATTAAATTCCAACCCAAGGGATAATGGCTTTACATCATAGATAAGAACACAGAATAGCATCAAGAAGTGGAGTGGGTGAAATGCAAACCTTTTAAGGACCTGGAATGTTCTTTGCTTAATACAGTAGTCTTTTCTGCTCTCAATTAGACTGTAAAAACCCTAAAAATTCGCACTATGGTAGATTTGAGTCAGCTCCACTGTACTTCAGCCAATTTCAGCTGCTAAATCAATCTACTTGTGAAATCAATGGATCCTGGAAATCATTAACATCAGACAGAAAAATTGCTCCTGGAATTTTTCTTGAAGTAGTCACAAGAGGTTTTTTTTTGAAAAAGGAACACCAGATCAACTGGATTTTAAATGTTACCCTTCCAAATGCATGCATGGCTTCTGTTGAGGTAATTCCCCATTAGGAGAATGAGCGCATATAGGGAGACGAATTTTGAAAGAAGTGTTTGAATAATACACATACTGCACACAGATACACTGTACAGTAAATGTAGATTTTTACTTCCAGAAATGTTAAGCAAAGTCCAAAATAAGCAATCCAAAGTCATTCACAAGTTAAATCAGTCAGTTTTCAATCCAGGGATAATCCAAATATCAAAGTTCAGTGTCAAAAAACAGTTCAGTAGCAGACTTACATTAAATCCAGTAATATCAGTCAACTAGAAGAAATGGAGCAACGGCAATACTTTTCAACAGAAGGAAACAGAGATACTCACTCAGACACACTACTCTCTTCTGAGACTAAGACTAAACAATCTAGGTTTCTCGCTCCATCTTATGGCCATTTGAGAAACCACACCCAATTGCATGCTCTTGCATTCCCTTAAAGATATAGTACTAAAATGTTTATCCTGGTTTATATATTTCTAACCCAAATACCTGCTAGGTGATTTATATTCCTAACAGCTTCCTCAGGAGAAATACATGTTTAGTGACCATTCAAAGTTACAATGGCACAGAAAAAAGTGACTTATGACTGGTTTTCACACTTGTAACTATTGTAGCATCCTCATGGTCACATGATCAAAATTCAGATGCTTGGCCACTGACAAGTATTTATGACAGTTGCTGTGTCCCAGGATCAAGTGATCCCATTCTGTGACCTTCTGAGAAGCAAAGTCAGCGGGGAAGCCAGCTTCATTTGATAACCATGTTATTAACTTAACAACTGCAGTTATTCACTTAACAACTATGGCAAGAAAGGTTGTAAAATGGGGCAAAACCAGTGGTGGGATTCAGCTGGTTCGCATCAATTCAGTAGAACCAGTAGCTAATTTTTTGTGGAGTCCAGCAAACTAGCTGAATAGCATCCAGTTCAATCCCTCCAGCCCACAGTGCCTCAGCCTGCCCCGGCTGGATGCTCCCTCTGGTCATACGCAGTGCATTTGCCTCCCTTGCCCAGCCTTGCCTCGCCTCGCCCCTCCCCTCCCAGCCACTCCTTGTCTCACCTTGCCTCGGCCGTCCACTCGCTTTGGCCTCCTGCTCGCCCATTTCAGTGCCTGTCACCCAGATGCCCTAGCGTCCCCCAAGCATTTCTTTGCTAACCCGATTTCCAACTCCGTCGTGTTTCTCGTGTTCAGGGAAACAAAAGTTTGTGGGACTAAAAAAAAAATGTTGAATCAATCAATTCCAATTTTTCACACACACACAAAAAAAAATACCGCAAAGTTGGAATTTTGATTAAACTTTTTCTTGTAGTCCCACAAATTTTTCCCCCTGCACACGAAGGTGAGAAACATGACAGAGTTGGAAATTAGGTAGGCAAAGAAATACTTGGAAGGAGTAAGGGCATCTGGACGGTGATGGGCGGGGCAAGCTCTGTGACGCAGGAAACAGGAAACGGAGTGGACTGCATAAGGGAAGGAGGAGAAGCAGGGAGAAGAGAGAAAGCGGCCTCCTCCTTCCTTCACACTGGCAGCTCCATTTTCTTTTTCTCCATTGCAGCACAGCACCCAGGATCCATTTTGACAATGGGTAGCGGGGGTAATTTAACAACCATTTTGCCCAGGCTCAGGTTGGCCATCATGGGAGGCTCATCCAAATATGTGGCAGAGCTGGAGGACGGGAAGGCATGCCTCTCACAATGGCCAACCTGACTCTGGGTGAACCGGTTGTTAAATTATTTGAATCCCACCACTGGGCAAAACTCACTTAACAAGTGTCTTGCTTAACAATGGGAATTTTGCGCCAGGGGCCACTTGTATTCATTTTCATTTCAATACAATATTACAAAGAATCAGATCAAAGTTTAATCCAGGTTAGCATAACATTCCCACAGAGACTAACCAGCTGGCTGGAGAAAAACTGGTTTGAAGAACAGACCTGTTCGGGTTTTGTTTCACCACACCTGCTAGAGCAGGGGTGTCAAACTCGCATCATCACGGCAGTGTCACGTGGTGTATTGGGACTTTTTCCCCCTTTGCTAAATCGGGCGTGGGCATGGCCAGCACATGACACATCTGGCCCGTGGGCCGCGGGTTTGACAGCCCTGTGTGCTAGAGGAAGGAATCCCCCCCCAAAACCCGCACTGGATCAGAATTCACTAACACATGGCCCATTTTCAGAAGATCTGACTTCTCCACAGCTTCAGTGTTCTATGAGATTGGTGCATAGCTGGTTGCTGGCTTGCTTCTCCATTTCTTTCATTGCAGCTGACCATTATTCTTTTTTTGTGCGTACTTAATCATTTTCTGCTTATAAAAAAAATCTCCACTCTATCCCATAATGCAGTCTCAGTGTGTCAGAAGAAGCTTTCTTGGGAAGACACGGTTGAGCAATTGGTCAGTAGTTCATGAGATATTTGGAAGTTTATTTGAGAAAATGATTATGGTGAGAGGGATAAATATAGTTCTGGACAACTGAAAGCCTCTGCTTGTTTTCGGTCTTTCCAATGGTACTTAATGAGCAGCTTTTTTAATTGGGTGGCTTTCCCGATGCTGGCGGAGCAAAGAGCTTATGAAATAAAGAACAATGGGAATGGAAAGAGATCTAGATCCATTTCTCTGTCTCTGTCTTTCTCTTTTTAAATCACTCTTGACTCCTAGAGACTGCTGGAACAACTCCTCCTCCCTGCAGTTTTCTTGGCAAAGTTTTTTGGAAGTAGTTTGCCATTGCCTGCTTCCCAGGGCTGAGAGAGAAGGACCAGCCCAAAGTCACCCAAATAAATATTACTTATTTACTCTTAAACATAGAGCCCACCTTTAGTATGGAATAACAGAATAGCAGAGCTGAAAGGGATCTTTCTTGTCCAACCCTCTACTCAGGTAGGAAACTCTATAACCAGGGGAGTCACACTCAAGGCCCGAGGGTCTGATCCGACCCATGGAATGCTAAGAACTGGCCTACGGGGCCGCCCTGGAAACAGCAATGGACCAGCCCGCGTTGCCTGTGCCAGCAAAAACGAAGCTCGGGAGGGGCGCATGTGGCCCTCCCAGGTTCCATTTTGGGCTGCATGGCCTCCTGCAGCCCTCAGCCAGCAAAAATGGAGCTCGTATGTGGCCCCTCCAAGCTCCATTTTCACTGGCACAGGGCTGCAGGAGGCCGTCACAGCTGAAAACGAGTGGTGTCGAGCTGACATGAGTGACATCGAGCTAGTCACACCCACCCCGGCCACACACACACACATACGAGGTCAAACACAACTCTGATAAGGCCCTCAATGAAATCAAATTTGATACCCCTGCTATAAACCATTTCGGACAAGTGGCTGTCCAGTCTCTTCTTAAAAACCTCCAGTATAGAAGCAACCGCAATTTCTAGAGGCAACCCGTTCCGTTAATTAATTGGAAACTGAAAATGGCCCACATAGCCATGAGGTGGCTAGTGGAGAAGGTGACACCCGGTTTCCTTTCTGGGTACACTTTGCTCCCTGGGCACACTTTGCTCTCCACCCTGGTTAATTTAATTTCAACTGAATTTTAAATGTTTGATCCTTATTCATTGTTTCTAATGTTTTACAGTGCATCTTCATTGAAAGTCTGTAGGCTGCCTAGGGTCGTCTCTGGCAAGATGGGCAGCATACAAGTTTAATAAATAAATAATAAATAACACAACATTCTTTGAGTTCCTTAATTTGGTTTTCCAAAGGGCATCTGAAGGTCCCTACCTTTCGCGAAGCATGTTTCTCAGACCCATCCATATCTCCATCCAGGAACGGCATGGCAAAGGAACTGAGATCCTAAAATAAACAATTCAGAAAATTTCATTAAAGCTTGAAAATTTCATTAAAGCTTGAAAAATACCCATAATTACAAATATTGTTAAGTCCCCAAGCTATTTCAGCAGATAGTTCCTGCTTCAGGGTAAGTTTATTTGAATGATATCAAAGCAACCATGGGAATCTTTAAAGGGCCTGACAACACAGGATAAAGGGGTACTTGGTTGACCACAGCAGTTGCTCCAGTACCCAAGATAAAAGCTACGAGAGGGGATTGAAGCTCTGGCCATTTTGTTTTATGTGTGATGGACATAAAAGATAGACAATGGCCTTTGGAGATACTATCTTAGTTGACACCTTAATGTTTTGGACCACACTCTGCTAGTTACCCCATATAAAGTGTTTTGGGGTCACTGGTTTTACCAGTTTTAACTGGCCAGCTATCCAGGATGATAGAAAGTTGGCTCTACAATGACTTCAAACTAGTAGCTAGGCTGTATCAGTAACTGATATAAGCAAACAGTAGTGACCAACTGTACATTCTGGGCATAGCTACTCAGGTGTCCCACTGAGTCCAATGATGCTTACTCCTAGATAAGTGAGGATCCTGTATTGTGAGGCCCTGCACACTCATGCCCTGGTCATTTATTGGCTGGATTACTGCAATACACTCCACAAGGGGGTAGCATTGACAAGTATTTGGAAGCTATTGTTGCCACGGTCCAATTCAAGATGCTGGTCGTTTTCTTTAAAGCACTTCATGGCAAGGCCATTAGTTTTTAGTTCCTATTTAAGCATTCCTATTTTTTATTGTGTTTATAATTATCTCTTTATCATTTTGTAAGCTGCCCAGAGTCACTTTACCAATGAGATAGACGGCATATTAGATAAGAATAGATAAGATGAGAGATGAGAAATAGAGAATCAGAATAACAAGGGAAGGTACCTTGTAGGTCATCTAATCCAACCCCACCCCCGCCCAAGCCGCAGATCCTACACCGTTTCTGACAGGTGGCTGTCCAGACAGACAGAAACATAGACAGATATGTATAGATAGACAGACAGACAGATGACAAATAGCCAGGAGGGAGGGAAGGAGAAATGTATAGGAATGCAGCCCAAATACAATTAAAGGTGTCCAACTTAAAGCCAAGCAAGTGGAAGAAAGACAACTTCGGGGGATCCTTTCAGATCATAGGAGATACCTCCTCAAAGGTCGTTGCTCCTGGAGCCAAACTACTTTTGGCCTTAGTGGGAGCAGAAACATACGTGCTCCTTTTTTCATGCCACATCCGAGTCGGTGGTCTAGTCTGCAATTCTTTTAGAGGATGAGGATTACGCTTCTCCCTCTTCTCTCGCAGCCTCATGATCATTAGGTTTTATTTCCTGGTGAACAAAGTTTCTCTAAGAAAATTCGATCCTCTGCGGCCGTCTTCTTCCCAGAAAAGGAAGGACACAGCTGCACTGACAAGTCCTCCCTCCTATCCTGGCCTCTTCTGAAATCCGTTAGAAAAAGCGGTTGGCTCCTCATTCTTCATTCTCTTTCCAGAAGGTTCTAGAGACTACATGCCTCAGAAAGACCACATGCAGGTTCTTCCTAAAGCAAATAAATACTCCATACCGAGAGGCCTTGGCTTGCAATCATTCATTTAGTGACCGTTCAAAGTTATAACAGCACTGAAAAAAGTCACCGATGACTGCTGGTCACTCTTAGGAAGACCATTGCAGCATCTCCATGGTGTCATGATCAAAATTCGGACGCTTGGCAACTGGCATGTATTTATGTTGGTTGGTGTCACATGATCCCTTTTAGTCACTGTCTGACTGGCAGAGGGGGAAGCCAAATTCACCTAACAACCATGTTACTAACTTAACAACTGCAATTATTCTGTCAGCGTTCCAGAAAACCTCCACTCCAACAAATAACTCCAAAAGTTCTGGTTTATTTGGATACTAAACTGGCACATTTGGGGAATACCACATGAAATTGTTTAATCAATCTATCTGCCTGTATATCCCAACTTTTTACCCAAGCAGCTTCTGACAAAGGGTAGACTTTTCATAGCATAAAACGGTAGCCTTTCCAAATTGTAATCGTCCTCGGTGTAATCTAGAATCGAAAAATTCCTTTATCTCATAATGTGTTTCGCCCTGTACTACCAGAGGTTTGGGGGGAGTCCCCAGATATGCCAGTTTACTATCCAAATAAAACAGAACTTTTGAAAGATGTCTGTCTCGGAGTTTTTTGTTGGAGTGGAGGTTTTCTGGTATGCTGATAGATTCACTTAACTGGGCAGGAAAAGCAAAACTCACTTAACAATTGTCTTGTTTAGCAATGGAAATTTGGGCGTCAATTGTGGTGGTTAAGTCAAGGACTATCTGTACTCGTCCAGAGCTCCTATTCTCACATGCACACCTGCAACGACACTAGCATTTATTTCACACAGTGTCAGTGCTAAAGCTGTCTTTGAATCTACCTGGAGACACAAATAATACCGGAAGAAGGCCAACATGGCTGCCTTTTCGAATTGAACTAAAAAAGAGGCAGTAGTGAGGCACCACTGCTTGATTTATTTGCAGGAACCCATCCTCTTCTTAATGATATTTAATAAAGAAAATTGAGGTGATGGAAAAGGGGAAATAGGGAGACCCTTATGCTAACAGATAATCAGAGTTGGAAGGGACCTTGTAGGTCATCTAGTCCAACCCCCCACCCAAGCAAGAGACCCTACACCATTTCTGACAGATGGGAGTCCAATCTCTTCTTGAAAGCCTTAAGTGATGGAGCTCCTACAACTTCCGAGGGCAACTTCTCTTCCATTGATTGATTGTTCTCACCGTCAGTAAGATTCTTTAAACAATACAGGTAGTCCTTGACTTATGACCACTATTGAGCCGCAGATTTCTGTTGTTAAGTGAGACATTTATTAAATGAGTTTTGCTCCATTTTATGACCTTTCTTGCCGCAGTTGTTAAATGAATCAATGCAGCTATTCACTTAATAACAAGGTTGTTAAGTGAATCCGACTTCCCCATTGACTTTGCCTGTCAAGAAAGGGGATCCCATGACCTTAGGACACAGCAACTGTCATAAATAGGAAACAGTTGCCAAGTGTCCGAATTCTGACCACATGATCATGGGGACCCTGCAAAGATTATAACCATGAAAAACAGTCATAAGTCACATTTTTCAGTGCCGTTTTAACTTTGAACAGTGACTAAACAAACTATTGTACAAGAGAAATCGAATCTAATGAGACAAAAGATATAGATATACAGAATATATAGATATATAGAAATGTAGATATATAATTCTTTATTGGCCAAGTGTGATTGGACACACAAGGAATTTGTCTTGGTGCAAATGCTCTCACATAAAAAGAAAAGATACATTCGTCAAGAGTCAAGAATCATCAGTACAATACAACAATAGTCGTAGGGTACAATGCCCTATGAGATGCCCAAGTCATCCTCATTCATTCTCCCCCCCCATCTTAATTATTTTTTTTATAAATAACCCAAGATGATGAGCATCCCTAAGACTCCTTTCTCCTATTTTCCACATAACTACCCCATGAGAGAGGCTGGGCTGAGAGAAAATAACTGATCTAAAAGTCACCCAGCTAGCTTTCATTCCTGCGTCACAACTTGAACTCACTGTCTCCTGATGATTGACCCAAAGCCATCCATCCAGTCTAAGAAAGGACTAGAACTCACTGTCTCCTGGTTTCTAGCCTGGTGCCTAATCCATTAGACCAGAGGTCTCCAAACTTGGCAACTTTAAGACTTATGGACTTCAACTCGTGCATGTTTTAAAGGATTTGCGTTGAATGATTTGTGCCTCTTCAGCACATGCACAGAACGATTCTGGCGGAGGTTCAACAGTTTTGGACATGAATTTAAAGAACTTTAGGTCTATGGAGTTTCTCAGTCATCCAGGGCATGGTGGCCCCAAACTGAAAAAGTTTCTTGGTTGAGAAGCGAACAATGAGATGTTAAGACTTTGGGGGAAAGTGCAGAAGAGCAAGTATGACGATTAAAGGCCTGGAGACTAAAACATACAAAGAATGGTTGTGGGATTTGGGTATGGCTTAGTCTAGAGCAGAGGTCTCCAAACTTGGTAACTTTAAGACTTGTGGACTTCAACTCCCAGAATTCTGAAGTCTACAAGTCTTAAAGTTGCCAAGTTTGGGGACCCCTGCACTAGACCAAATTGGCTCTCTAATTTTCTACTTCTAGAAAATAAACATCATTTAACTTCCTGCTGTTACTGGAAATTTCTGTGCTACTTGAAGTTTCTGATTAACTTCACTTTTTACCTAAACATTTTCTGCTTTTACGTTGTCTCAGTTTTCAGAAGCACATAGGATAAAGCTGTCAGTTTGCACCGAACTCAAATAATTATTGAGGCTTATTCTGTGCCTGGCCCCAATACATCACTTACTTGTCCTCTTCATTTTCCCACAGCCTGTTATGGCAAAATCTCATTCTGGGATTGAGGACCTTCAACCTTCTGAAGGTGACAGTGGCCTCCTGAACTACTCAATGAAAGCTAAACAAAAAATAAGGGTAGAAGTTTAAAATTAAAAACAGAAGTTGTGAGGACTGCCAGTCCACTATTCCTTTCCCGTCATTCCCCACCAGACAAGCTCTTGTTCATGGACATAAAGTTCTAAATCTCAACCCTTTTTGAGTAGCAGGTTGCTGATTTTTTTGTTTATTTGTTTGTATTCTGCTTTGTAATTTTTATATATAAAGCAGCGGACATTTCTAACATTCATTCTTCCTCCTATTTTCCCCACAACAACAAACCTGTGAGGCGAGTTGGGCCAAGAAAAACTAATTGGCGCAAAATCACCCAGCTGGCTTTCATGCCTAAGGCAGAACTAGAACTCACAATCTCCTAGTGACTGGTCCAAAGTCACTCAGTTGGCTTTCATGCCTAAAACGGGACTAAAACAGGACTAAAATTCATAATCTCCTGGTGATTGGTCCAAAGTCACTCAGCTGGCTTTGTTGGC